GATTCCAAATGTCAACTAAATAATGACCCTCAGTGTTTGTTACAAGCAATAAAAGAAGATTTCCAGCTCCAAAAATATTGGGCGTTAAAGCAATGCTTGTCCTGAAGAAATGCCATTTCAATCTACGAGACGTTTCTCAGGCGCCCCACCCGAGAAACCAAGCCTTACTGAAGAGTGATCGGTTAGTGATCACCAGCCTTTACCGCCAAAGAAAATTAGTGTTATAAGGAGGATCGAGGGAGTTATTTGGCAACTTCCTAATAATGTGCCCTGCTCATCCCCTCCCCCTAAAAAGAGACGGTCGTGGTTAATGGCTCATTATACAGTGCACTAATGACAGCGTTAAATGGCCTGCAAATATACACATCCTGCCGTCTCGTCTCGGGGCGGAATGTGGAACTAACTAATATCAACAAAAAACAACCTAAATAATAATCAACGAAATATATTGATCAATGACCAGCATGATCCAGACGGTACCGGAAAATGCACCGAACTTATAAACTCCTGTCGGGCACGTGGGTCAGTTTTGGCTGACGTCAGCCAGACACCCTGGCACTGTGCCAAAACCACCGCATGACGTGGCGCGATTTTACGTTGGTGTCTGCGGTCTCCTCCCTCTCTCCTGTCGGCTGATACCCCGGCCTCTCTCCTTCCGGGACACTTCCTCCCGAGAGAGCCGAGTTGTTCAATGAACATCCGCTGGTCGATGCTTTACAATTCGCGGCACGACGTCGCTCTCGACGGGACCGACGTAGTGGTGTGACGTCCGGGTCTGAAAATACACCGGCGCACGCCGCCGAAACTGATGTAACACCGGCCTGCATGCATCGGGGAGGGCAGAGGAGGAGAGGGGAGGCGGGGAGGCGCCCGGGCCATCGGCATCACGTCTGACGACACAGCTCCCTGTGACTGACCCGCCTGCTGGAGTCAGTGCTCTTCCGGTGACCGGTGGTGGTGTCAGTCTTATTTGGTGTCAGTCCCCTGCATGGCTTGTTTCCTTAGTCTCCAGTCAATCACCTCTCTGATATCAGTCAAAATCAGGTGTCAGTTCCCAACTTAGTGCTGTGTTGTCTGATGTCAGGTCCCCTGCTGGCATCGGTCTCCTATGGGTGTCAGTCATCTTTCAACGTCAGTCTCCGCTGGTAAGTAATAAGTATACGAGTATAGTAGGGGCATTCCACGTCAAGTGGGACAAAAAATGATCATTTTGAACCTCACCTCCTCCGATTTTTGCGAAACTTTGTGAAACTGCTCATCTATATGTGAAAAGAAAGGAGACATATTTTTGTCAAGATATGACGTCACGTTTCCGAGATACACGTCATCAAACATTGACTTAGGCAAGGCACATTATCATCTTTAAAGCGTCATAACCATAGAAGTTTTAGACATATCACCACGAGACAAAGTGTGAAATGGAGGGAATAGGTCAGGCTTTAATTTGAGGATAATAATATTGACGTAATTAACTAAGTAGTGAACTTAATTAAAATTCAAAAAATAAATTTTGATTTTCTGAAAAATGGGTACCCTTCGATTTTGCTAATTTTTACATATTTTATTCTCCTATACATTAGCTACATCATATAAAAAATCCAGAATGGGCCGACGACTACGTAACTGTCTTTTGGACTTCGTAATGTCTGGCACTCGCGTGTTTCGTTTTAGCAACCAAGGAGAGGCGCTACCCGGAGATGCTTCTTTCTACCCCAAACCAAAGCAAACCTAACCTGACCTGACGTGACCTGACCTAATCTAACACGCGTAAATATGTACAGCCCTCACGGCAGTTGCCGACTGGCCAAATGCCACCTAGATACGAACATTAGCCCTTACGACAGTTGCCGGCTGGCCAGATGCTACTTGAAAAAACAAATGCGTATTGAACACTTCAGGCTGACCCGCTGCGAGCCAGCGACCTTTAGATTTCGAGGTGGGTACACTCGGCGCACTTACTACTAAGCCACGAAGATAGCTGGTCATCGTAAGCCAGTTTTTAATGATGAATTTGGGCATTCTCCGGGCAGCGCCTCTCTTTGGTTGCAAAAAGAAAATACGCCTGACTCTCCCAGCGCTAGGGGAGAAAAGCCCGGTTTAGCCAAAAAAGGTATAAAAAAAACGGAATTTGAAATGTAGGTGGGGCGGTGGGGAACTTTATCGTGTGCCGATTTCATGGCCCTAGATCAATATATTCAAGATCAAATGAGGTTAAACGTGATCAAATTTGCTATAGTGACTATTTTGCGTTTATACGCCCATAGCTCTAAGAGATACTGGCCGATTTTCCTATTTCTTCCTTTTTACGACATTTGTAGTGTTATGAGAATCTCTAGTTAATCTGACCATAAGCTTGGCAGTTAGTGGCTTGCTAAGAGTAAGATGTCGCCGGCAGTGGCGGGGATCGGCCGACGCGGGAAACGTCATAGTCACATATTGTGTTTGCACCCTAAAGATTTAATTTTGCCAGTTGATTTTCGTATTTATTTGAACATTAGATTGCCTGTACATTTTTAAGCCTTCACACACAGTTTGACACGAATCGATCATAATCAGCGGTAAGAAGCGCGGTGCAAAGATTGAACCGTCCCGCGCCGGCACAGTCTACCATTCAGGCGGCGCCGGCCGGCGCCGGCCGCCGAGCCGCTCCGGCAGGAATGCTTGACTTTACACCGCTATTACTAGAAAAATTGTGGACCGATTTACCTATTTCTTGCACGGGAGGATTTGCAATTCGATTCTGGACAGATACTTAGAGTTTGACGTTAATATGATAATTATGGCGTGAGTTATTGGCGATAAACAGGTGGAGTTAGCGAAATCGGCCCCTTCCACCGCCCGTGCTACGTTGCACTACTTGTTGCTATATCATCCAAAGTTATCGTTGGCCCACTCTAATTTTCTCAGCACGTGTGCCTTACGTCTAGTGGAAGACAATATCTAAATTTGAGCAAAATCGAAGGGTACCCATTTTTCACAAATTACATTTTCAGAAATTAATTCAAAATAAAATAAATTCAAAATCACCAAAAAATGTAAAAATTGTCAAATTTTTCTTGCATAACTCCTTATGTACACGTTTCAGTTTGTTTGACATTAATAGCTTCAAAAATGTTGAAGCTATAGATCTTTCAAGATTGCAATACACGTCCAATTCTGCTCAAAAAGCAGAAGTTTAGCGACTTGTATCTCTGTAGCCCGAGGGCATATCGCATATGACAAAATCCTTTCACCCTCAGAGGTTTCACCCAATAGCCAATAAGTATACCAAGTTTGAACAAAATCGCAGAGGTGGCCGATTTTGGCTGTCCCGGTTGACATGGAATGCCCCAGTATAACTATGCCCTTTCGACTAATCATCGTCAGTCATCTACCATAATGTGTCAGACTTCTACCGTGCAATGTCTGTCAGTTGTTTGCAATGCGCCAGTGATTGTGTGTCAGTGTTTGACAATGTGTCAGTGTTTGTCAATTTGTCAGTATTCGTCAATGTGCCAGTGTTTGACTCTTGAGCATCTGCCCCAGTGTCAGACCCCCCCCCCCCGATGTCGGCTCCCCCGGGGTACAACAACCTCTGGCTAGCCGGCACAAGTCGGAAGGTTACGAGAGGTCACCCGAAGCCTCCAGGGGGCGGTCAGCTGATCCGGCGGGCTAGCTGTCGGGGCCAGCTGCAGCGGCCGACGGCGACGGCGCAGCCTTGGCCCTCGCCGTCGCTGCCGTCGACCGAATCGATCGTCGGCTCATGTGATTCTCGCCCAGTCACGTGACCGGCGCGACGTCATCGCTGCGCCGCTGCGCCGAATTCGGCGCACCACGCGGTGCCGACGGCGTGGACCGATGCTGCCCATGCGCGCGCCACCCGCCGCCAGCCGCGCCCTCGCGCCGGCTTGGCTGTGGATCAAGGTCAAAGCGGTGACCTACCGCGCTGAAGAAACTTGCTAGTCTATTTATTATTTCCTGGATGCTGGCTGCGCCGGAGCGAGGGGGGTGTGTTCCTGGCAGGGCAGGGCCCACGGGTGCCGCGGCCGAGGGGTGTCGCCGATGAGATAGGCGCTATGTATGAGAGAGGGGGAGGACGCCCGCTATAAGGGGTGGTAGCTGGGAAGGGGCGGTTCCGCCGGTTCCGGTGCAATGCGGAACCGGCGGACGATGGAAGTAGGCGGATGTAACTGAGCCTCCATCCGGTGACGAAAACTGCTGCGTCGCAGACGCTAGTGACGCCGGCGACAGATTGATTTGATCATGAGACGGCCGGAGCAAATATAGTGGCCGGTCGAAGGTCAGACGCCACATCTATGGAACTCGAATACGGCGAGTTTCGTGAGTTGTAGGTATATGAAGACCTTGGGGGCGTGCGATGGCCCCGTAGGTTAACCGAATAACCGGGCGAGTTTGATGGCCTAGCGGAAGCCGATGTTGCATCACCACTCACCATGGCGCGTGCACCAGTCTAGTGCCGGGTCCTAGCAACATTAGTACTTCAAACCGTACCGCCGGGTAACTGCGCAATACGACAGTGCCTCAGGGCACCGAAATAAATAGAAAATGGTACAGATCGTTCATCAGCTGCGGACGAGATCCGGGAGTTTTATTTGTGTTCCATTGATAATGGATGGGCACAAGAATAACACTGAAACTCCTGAGATGTTGCAATTTGAATAGCTATAAATTTTATCCTTGCTGTATCACAATATTGCTTTACGTAGCCGTAGCCGGCTTATGTTTTGGTTGAGAACAGCCTAAAACGATGCGTTAAATCTAATGAAAACTAGATTCTGATGTGTACCTAGGTGTATCCGCAATAACGTTAGGAGAGCCATAAACGTTTACATTCGTTGTGGTGCCTATACATACACCACAGCCGCTCTCGGGCGATCAGTGACCATCCCAGCACACAGCTCCTTCTCATGCGTCTCGGAAGTTTCAGCCTCCCCTCCCCCTTCCTCTTCCATCTCTAAAAAGGAACGTTGCAGTCTCACAAACCAGAAAACGCACATGGACACAGTACAACATTTTATTAAAATATGTTGATTTCGGCGTCATGAACACATAATTACTGCACAGTGTGCGCACCGGCGGCCAATTTCCGTCCATCGGAGGTGGGCAGCGGCCACGCGCACCGCGCTCCCTGGCTGCCAGCTATCACAAAGTCCAGCTTTGGTGAGAGCTGGCCGCGCCCCCTCCTTCTCTCGCCGGAATGAGTCAGAGCCGGCGCTCGGCGTGACCCGGCCCACCGGCACGGCCGGCAGACGTGCACGCGCACGGCACGGCTCGGCGCGCCGCGCGACGAAAGACATGAACAATGGGCCCCACTATATTAGCACCGCACGGGCGACTAACATCCATCCACTCTGGACGCGACACAGGTACAGGTGACTCGTAATAGTCCGGTAACGCATGCATAACAACCACGGTCGCCACGCCAAACAAGCAGAGCAAGACTAGTGCCACGCGGGCCGCTCCTGGCTGTCCTGCCCCAACAGCGCACGGCCCTACTGTCACAAGCCGGAGGGCGCCTGGCCACGGTTGAATCCTTCGCCAAGATGTTTGGCAATCTCGCGATGCAACTGGTCAGGCAGCACTCCCACATTCGCGAACAAGTTTTTGAGCACACCCAGCTCCTTGGAGAGCATCTCGATGCGCTTGTGGAGTCCGTCGTTCTCCCTGGTCAGCAGTTTCACTCGCTCCTCCGTCTCACGGGAACGCATCTTGGCCTTTTCTCTGGAACGGCGCACGGCTACGTTGTTCCTCTCACGGCGGCGGCGGTACTCGTCTGACGAGCGGTCTATCCTCTTGGACCCGCCACCGCCGCCGCCACCGCCGGAGCCCTTGGCCGCCGGCCTGGCTGGCGCTGGGCTGGGGGCGGCCGCGGCGGCCGGCGCCACCGCCGGCCGCGTGGACGCCGGTGTCAGGCTCGTGTAGGCCGGGCCGTGCGCGGTGACAGCCGGGTAGCCGGCCGGCGGACGGTACGGCTGGTACTCGCCGCCGTCCGGGTCCTTTTTGACGGGCGGCAGCTGGGCCTGGGGCGGCGCGCCGGCCGCCGGCCGCGGTGCTGTCGAGCACACGGGCTGTGCCGGCGGCAGGTAGCCCCCGCTCGAGTAGGTCAGACCCGAGGAGCAGGTGGCCGCCGGTGTGGCGCGGCTGCCCAGGCCCACACCCAGGCTCTTGTCCACGATGTCCGGGAAGATGCCATCGCTGAAGTGCGGGTCGTTGACGAACGCCTGCAGGTCGAGCGACACCTCGGAGGCACCGAGGTCGGCCAAGTCCCCGAACTCCTCGCCGTAGGGGCCTCCCAGTTTTCCGCTCTTGTTGGGCAGGTTCAGTAAGTTGGGCTTCACCACCGCGTCGCTGAGGTCGTACATCTGAGGCGACTCCATGCTCAACCAGCCATCGCCCGAGGCGGCCTCACTGTTCTCCAGCACGGCGGGCACGTCCGCACAGGCCGACTGCCCGTCACCGAGTGGCCACAGGTCTGCCAGCGCTCCGTCCTGCTCCCACTCTCTCTCAGCACCGCTGCGCTCGCGCACCTCGCTCGGTATAGCTCAACACAGGACTGCCACCACACCACTCCCTTCGGGACCTGTAACCACAATGTCGGAGGATGATGCAACACCGACTAATATACCAGTCCTTTCGCCGTCGTCGCGCGGATGGAACTTAAGTCGCTTCAAATTGACTGTAACTTTTACCAAACACGGTCAGATAGAAACCACTTCTAATTTTCATTGATTTGGTAAAATTATGCACCAAAAGATGGTTTAGCTTAGCCACAAATAACAATTTTACTCGGAACTATTTTCCTGCCCATTGTCTATTTCAGCCACACATGTGACGTCATACGTCATATGGGAGTGACGTAGACAAAATGCGCCGCGCTGATTGGCCAGCGCCGTGGTGGTCGGTGCCTGCTGTGACTGACGTCAACGGAATGTGCCGGAGGCATCAAGCGCGAGCCCAGGTATCACGTGATTAGGGGGCAGCTGGGCACTGCGTCGTGCCCCCCTGGACCCAGAGATAGCGACGCTCCTGCGCAGGCGCTGCGTAGCGTTGGCGGAACGTCGCAGTAACTGGGGGCGACCGTGCTGCCCACTACATTAGGGAAATACGGAATGCCCCATAGGTTTCATAGAGGGCTCTGCAAGATAGGGCCGCGTACCTGTGCTTCCCTGCGCAGAGGAAACTTCGGTAGGTAGCCTACGCAATAAGCTTGCTACCTAGGATACATGTATTTCTTATTTCCGCGAGGCCTAACAGCCTTACACATTTCCCTTTTAACATGCTATTGACCGTTTGAAAATATACAAGCATGACCTTTCCTCGATATTGAATAAAAAATTGCCGAAAAATGTACTAAATTAATATAGGTACTTAAATCACATATTTTCTATTACCGAAAGTGCCGAAAAATGTACTTCACTAATAGAAAATATGTGATTTAAGTATATTAATAAAGTACATTTTTCGCCACTTTTTTGTTCAATATCGAGGAAAGGTCATGCTTATATATTTTCAAATAACTATTACAATGTTCCTCGTACAAGCACTTAACTCCATCAACAATGCTATTGACCATGCTTGACTGCATGACGAAGTACGAACTACCTACCTCACCTGAAGTAGGTAGTCCTCCTTGTGCCACGGGGGGGGGGGAGGAGCACGTGACCATGACCCCCTCGAAGACCTGATTTTATTATAATGCGTGTGCAGGATTGTGCAAATATAATATCCCGCTATAATGAGGCATGAAATCCCGGCCCCTTCCTGTTCCAGCCCCTGGTAGAGCCAAGCAAGGATAAGGCCATCAAAAAGATTCGCCAACAAAGAGATGTTTAGGATGACAGCCTGCTCCGTAATTTTTCGCACCAGTCCTATCCAGAATGGCGCTGAATTTTGACAACTGACATCAAGTGCATGGCCGAGAGGTGACGGGGCGCATGAGGCATGCAGAATTACGCACGACCCTATGTGGTTTGATAATACGAGGCCATAGCCCAATAAGTGCGCAACACTAAATTTTCCAAGCTTGTAGCACCGTTCCACAGGATAAATCACACAAAAATATTGCCCGAAAGAAGACCTGAGATATGAATTTCCGCGTACCTTTCTCGCGACTTACCGGAAAACACCACACCGCGAACAAGCTTGACGCGCTTGTTTACAGCTGTTGAAGGATGATAACTTCTGCTACAATCAAGAACTTTAAAAATAGTTTTGGAGAGAAAAGTTCACTTTCATAACATATTTGTGAAATTAAAATATGTGTTTGGAAATGTGTACGAAAATACACACATAATTCTTTTATTAAACCACTCAATTTTATGCAGCGTTTTCTTGAGCTCAACCAGCCGATGCGGCGATGTTCTTGGTTGGTTGGTTGGAAACGTACACTCTGAATGAAACGTCTAAATAACCAAAACATTGTTGAATGAGCCAATGAATTCCGAATTATCTGTAAGAATCTTGTTCCGAACTAAAAAGTGAAATATACCTTTATACCTACCTACTACCTTGCTAAGATGGTTGCTGCAATATTGGGCCTGATAGCTTCAGAATGGTCTTATTTCAGTTCAAACTACAAAACTGCTATTTCCATACGTATGCTAAAAGTGGAATGCTCCCTAAACTTAAGGAAAAATACTATGATTAGAAAGTGTATATCTGTTCAAATCGGGTAAAAATACAAAACATTTTTGGCTACATGGACACTGTTTTTGGTTTAACCCGCGGCGGGGCGGGGGGTGGGGCCGGGGGTGGTGACTGATGTGAACACCCCCTCCCCTGCGGTTTTTCGCAGATATCTCAAAAACGGCGGCGCTCCTGCACGTGTATCTTCTCCGCACATGTGAAAATTTCAGACCCAGGTCTCTCAAGGTCAGGTCACCAGGTCACGCCAAGTGACCTCACCTCAGAAAAAAATGCTCGTCATAGCAGCTACACCGACTGAACGATTGCCTTGAAACTTTCAGCAATTGATAAAAGTAACAGCAGGTATTTTAAAACGTATAGGTATCTCGGAATTTTGATATCGGTGACCTAAGGTCAGGCCAATTTTGCGGCCTCTCCATTAGGTATTATAAGTCAATGGGAGAATATTGAAAAGCGTATGTTTTGCACGGACGCCATTTTACAGGGCCTATTTTAACATGTTAACTGGGGGGGGGGGCGGCAAATGCCCCCGCACTCAACAGAATTGCCCCCCTAGTCGTCGAGATTTGCCCACTATAAAAATGGGCATAAAGGAACAGGGTGACAAACATACTACGTAACTACTGTGACTTGTTTTGCAATGGATGTCAAGTGAGTCAGTCTGTAAGTAATGACCAGTGGTGTATCTAAGGGTGGGTCATATGGGTCATGACCCCCCACCCTCTTGGGGCCCGGGGACACCACAGGCCTGCCAGGGGCACCACCGGCCTGTCAGGGGCACCACAGGCCTGTTGGGAGCACCATCAACCTAGCAAGAGCACCATAGGTCTGCCAGGGGCACCACAGACCTGCCAGGGGCCCCACCGGCCTCGCAGGGGCACCACCTTGGGCCTGTCAGGGGTACCACCACAGGCCCGCCAGGGGCACCATAGGCCTGCCAGAGGCACCATAGGCCTAGCAAGGGCGCCACGGACCTGTCAGGGGCACCAGAGGCCTAGTATGGACACCACATGCCTGGCAGGGACACCACCGGCCTCGCAGGGACTGGGACACCTTGGGCCTGTTAGTGGCACCACGTGCCTGTCGGGGACACTCCAGGCTTGTCAGGAGCACCACAGTCCTGTCAGGGCCCAGGGGCACCACCATAGGCGCGGGAGCCGGGGGGGCAGTGGGGGCAGCTTGCCCCCCCAACTCTGGGGCCGTGGGGGCGGTGCCCCCATAGCTTTGAGACGGAATACCACACTTTTTTTTGCAAATGTTTTCTTTTTTGTTGAAAAAGCCGAGGGGTGAAAAATAAGTGGCCTAAAACCGGTGAGAAAACTAGATTTGGGGGTACCCTAGGTTAATCTCTATTATGGTGTGCCCCCCCAGTCGGAAAGTAGTTCCCGCGCCCCTGGGCACCACCGGCCTCACGTGGACACCACCGGCCTCGCAAAGGCATCATGGGCCTGTCAGGGGCACCACGGGCCTGTCGTTGGAACTTCAGGCTTGTCAGGGGCACCACAGTTTTTTCAGATGCACCGGCGGCCTAGCACCATGGCACCATGTTTGGCCGAGGTCGCGATTCGGCGTATGTCGCCTCGCATTAGCCGCGCGTTTGCAGTCTTTTCGTGGTTTCAAACGTTCAAACATGGGATATGATGTTGCTCCCATGCATTAGGGTGGGTGTCAAGATCACCGGAAGGTCAGGTCAGATCATTTACCTTTGATGACCTCGGTTCACATTTTCGAGTTTTATATGTTTCTAGGCTAGTTTTTGGAGCTGAATTCGAATTAAGCAACCATTTGACCATTTACGAAGTAGTTTTGGTGCCTTCGTAACATGTTACGAAGCTGTCAGAGGCGGTTGCCACCTACTACGAATACCCGGCAAAACCCTTACTGGTTGACCTGACCTGACCTGACCTGGCCTAAATGCATGAAGACATCATCTATGATCATAACTAACATGATAGTCGTGATCAGCACCCCGAAAAACCATAGCAGCCACTCTTTACGACGCTCTAACAGGTCCCGATTTTCCCGACTTTTGGGTCAATGACCTGACCTGGAAGGTTAACCGATGACCTAGGACCTCAAAATTGGGTATAATCGGCTTCCTTTCATCACGGGCAACACGGTCGTTTTTTCCGCGAAGCTCTAGCTCGATCAGGGGCGAAACGGCAAGGGGGAGGGTCCAACGGACCCCCCCCCTATACGCTCGCTACTGGAAACACCAATACGGGCGAGGGTTAATGGATTATTAAAGACAATTTTCCAGGTTGCCCCCCAGTCAAATTCCCTTAAAATAGGCTCTGCCATTTTAGACACTCTCAAACATCGGGATGCAGGTAAAATTGACACACTGAACCGGAAAATAGCAACTGTGACCTCTCGTTATGTCCCCGAGGTCATCTCAGGACTCAGGTCACGAATAGTATCTAACAGTTTTTCGCTAATAATTCTGATAGAGGCATGCTAGACCGACGGAAACGCCTTAGATGTATTGGGCACGACGATGCGGATCGACTGATAATTAACATGACCTTTTCCGGTCAGGTTAATCGATCATCAGGTTAATCAAAATTTGACCTGCTGAAGTCAAATTTTCAAGTTGAACTTTCAAGGTCAAATTATAGTTCATTCGACGTGTCTCGACGAGAGGAACACGATGCTGGCAACAGAAATGTCGTGGCTTTTTCTAGTCAAAAGTTATTGCTGAAAAACACTTTTCGTAAAACGGCTACTTTTGGAGTTTTTGCCCTCTGGAGGCTAAACCGTTGACCTGAGGTCAAATCTGAAGACCATTAGCGAAGGAGTGTTAAAAGAGCTCTCAAATGCGCTTTTCCGCGGCGCTTGTAGCTTTATCGGTTCCCGAATTAGCCGTTGGCAGTTTCCAAAATGCTGAGATAGCCAACATTTTACCTTTGGTGACCTCTGGTGACCTGACCTTTGACCTGACTGAAGTGTTTTCTTCCTTTTTTGGAGGTTCCTTCGAATGCCACTTACTGCGTGTCGCTACGTGGCCCAGGAGCCGAGCTAGAAAGGGGTGTTCAGACACACTCCCGGCCCGGCGCGGAAGTCGCGGAGCACCGGCCCGGCGCGCTGCTTAATAATCTTTTCAGCTCCAAGCTAAAAGCTTGCTATGTCAGTTCAAAAGGCATACTGAAAGTGGAATATTTCCGGGAAAATATTCAGAGGAAACAAACATTTTGCTTCTAAGTAGTCATAAAAAGTGCAGTAGCGGCGGAACACCTTCAATTAAGGGGGGGGGGACACTGCCGACTTTTGGTCCCATTCTTTCCATGCAACGCCCATAGGGGCTTAGGGCTAATGTTAAAATGCCAAAATCAAAGGGGGGCACGGTGCCCCGGTGCCCTCCCCGTTCCGCCGACTATGAAAAAGTGAACGATTTCATTCCGAATGGGTCTATTGAAGTCAGAGCGCAGAGGCAATGTATTCCCTAGATTGAAATTTGGACAGACATATTAACCCGGCAGTTGCTGGGGTATTTCGCCACCCACCGTTTGCTGGGCGGGGGGGGGGCGTTAAACGCCCCCAGCCGATAACTCGAGAACCAATAGGCGCAGCGAAACGCACGAGGCGGCAAACGAAAGAACGCGACGAGACGCTTCAGATGAGTACTTTAAAGTTGAATTTTGAGGTCACAGGTCGGGTCAAGGTCAGGTCAAACACCTGAAATCGGGCTTTCAGTAGCATGGACTTCAGGACTTCGCAATGGGCGCCTCTCGTCAGAAACTCTGTCAAAACGGTGCACAATCCATCATATAAGGCCTACAAGAGTGTCAGTTCCATGTAGGGGTCAGTCAAGCATAGGTCAGGGTCAAGGTCAGGTCAACCGGGTAGGCACATATCCCCGAAAATCAAAACTGATATTCGCAGCCTATGACACATGTTTTATGGGTAATTTGGGCCGTAGAACACGATGGTGACATTCATTTTATCATATGTGTACGTGTTTGGCTCAAAAATTTCAATTTAAGAAATTCATGTATCATGGTCGTGAAGTAGTCACGAGAAATTGTCAAGATTCAGTTCAAGATTTTGGAAAATGCGGAACGATAATCAATAATCGAAGATAGCCATTTGATTGTTCATGGTATTGGCATTCTAATGGCGTTTACGGCATGTCTTTATGTCTATCCTGTGATTTTATATGATTTTTTGAACATATGCCGTTTTTGGTCGAAAACTCAGAAATCATGACGTCACTAAAACCTCGATATCTCAAAAATTTTCCGACCGAATTTTTTTGAAACTTTGTCAAAATAAACTTCAATCAAATCCCTACAGGTACCCAAAATTTGGCGCACCATTTTTATGCTATGGCCCGGCGAAAAAGTGGGGGCGTTTAACGCCCCTCCCCCCCCCCAGCAACTCGAAGGTTAAATCCCATCTTGGAGCACTAAACCCACCATTGACTGAAAGGGAAAGACGCTTAATGCCACCCCCTCCCCTACCCCCGCCTTTCAACAACGCTCAAAACAATGCGTCAAACAAATCAAAGCAATGCGTACCAGATATTGTTCCTCTCCGGTTTTGCATGGAGCACACTCACAGCCGGTGCAAGCACAACGAAGTCTTAAGAGCGCGCCGTTCAGCCGCAGTCACCAAAAATGAGTAATGTCTGACACCCCTTATCCGTGCCCTCAGCCAAGCGGCCCGCGACAGTCACAGTCACAGCGTCATGTTGACGCGGCCAGCCGACCCTGTCCCAGCTCAAGCTCTGTCGTGGCTCCCCTCCCGCCGAGAGGCACATGCGGAGCGAACCGAGCCACGTGACCAAACGACCCGGGGGCTATACCGCAGAGGCGCACTCAGGTCTCCGTACAGGTCACGGAGCACACAGGAAAGCGCACCTGAAACGCAGACTGAGGCCACCACTGTTGACTTCCACCAAATCCAGCTCCGGGACCGGGGTCCAGTTCGTATAGAAAAACCAGTCGGCAAGTGTCACTTTGCCAAAGTGTCATTTATCAAAGGGACACTTTTGGGAACATTGGTACCGGTGTGTAAGGGTGGCTATATGAACTCATCTGTAGGGTCGCGGCTCGCGCTTTTCAATAAGTGTCACTTAGCAGCAAAGGGGCTCTTTATGTATGAACTGGGCGCGGAGCCCAATCTTTTGCATTGCGCCTTCGGTATTTGACAGCACTGGTTGAAGTTCGGCTGCTGAGAAAGCGGCTACCAAACGCAAAATGTTCTTACGCGTTTCAAAGTATCGTGTTTTTATGGCCAAAGAGGTCGTTTTTTTATAAGGTTATCAATTTCTCCGAACATTCGCAGACACTGATGTCTTTAAATGAATGTTACAATTACCATGAATGGAGTATGTACTACGACACTTTTTGGGCCCAGCTTCGCCCGTCAAAAAACTAACGACCCTCGGGCGGTAGGCCCAGAAAATAATTCTAAGTGACCATGCAATATGCTTGTCTTGAATAATAAGTATTCGTACCACGCTTGGTCAATAGACGGCTATATAACTGGGGAAAGTTAGACATGCTTTCAATGTAAGACGCACAGCAGGCGTTCAAACTGGGCCGGCTCAGGGCCCTGCAACCACCAATGGTCAAGCGCTGTAGGCCTGGCAAGTGCGAACGTAACTGACCTGCACGACTTTGGGAGACTAGATAGCGGTACAGCTGCGCACTGCACATGTTAGGCTTGCACTTCTGCTGGTTAGCGACGGAGAGACACATGCAGATTTTCGAGGACACTTCGGCCTGCTTGTTGCTGTGGTGTCTGGTGCCATTCGGGATTAATTCATTATTTCCACTTCCTGACACTGGACAGTAAGGTTTCTGTTGACCGAGGCAATAGTGATTCATTTATTATTTCTTAATATGACTGATAGGTCTGTGAAAGATTTTATATTTCTTTGAAGGAGCATATCTCAAGTGGCAACTGCGTTCAATATTTCAGTTTAGAAACTAGCTACGTGCCATGCCCTGACAGACGGCGGGCCTGCGCAACTTGTATTTATACGGAGCGCGAGCCAGGGTTTGTATTTCACGTCAGTGCCGCACTTTGGACCCTGTGAAGAGCTGATTCTGTACACCCCGCGTAGTAACCTGACGTGTGTACAATCTTCAACTGCGCAGTTGGCCGAGAGGAACGCAGATCAGCTGCAGATTGCAGGGCAGCGTGTGAATTGAAATGCTGTCATCGCCCAAGGGGATATGAGCAGCGGAAAAATACGTGCTTATTTCGCAACGCAGAGCAAAACACCTTGGCGTAAGCCATGATTTCGCCTGATGCCTAAACGTTTTAGCAACTAAAAGCATGCTTGCTCCGAGAAAAGTTAAATTTAAATTTAACCCCAGGTCATGGTCATGGTCATGACCAGACTGGAAAAGGTCACGCTGCATACGAGTGAATATGTACCGTTGAGCTGAACACGTCCGAGGTGCTTTCATCGCTACTGCATGTCTATCAAAAGTTAAATTCAATAACTGCTGTAGGCCCTTCATGACCTGACCTGAGATGACCTCAGGGGCATAAAGGGGGTCACAGGTGCAATTTTTCAAAGTTAACCCTCGCCGGCACAGGCCATTTTGCGTCCTTCGACGGCACAAGTTGGTACGACCCCCCCCCCCTCGCGTTTGGCCCCTGATCGAGCTAGAGCTTCGCGGAAAAAACGAGCGTGTTGCCCGTCAGGAGACGAAACCGATGATACCCAATTTTAAGGTCCTAGGTCATCGGGTGACCTTCCAGGTCAGGTCAATGACCCGAAAACCGGGAAAATCGGGACATGTTAGAAAGTCGTAAAGTGTGGCTGCTATGTGGTTTTCCGGGGTGCTGATCACGAATATCGTGTTAGTTTTGATCAGAGATGATGTCTTTAAGCATTTAGACCAGGTCGGGTCAGGTCAGGTCAGGTCAACCGGTAGGGGTTGTGACGGGTATTCGTAATACGTGTCAACCGCCTTTGACAGCTTCGTAACATGTTACGAAGGCACCAAAACTACTTCGTAAATGTTCAAATGGTTGCTAAATTCGAATTCAGCTCCAAAAACTAGCTTAGAAACATGTAAAACTCGAAAAGTGAACCGAGGTCACCCGAGGTCACCAAAGGTCAATGACCTGACCTGACCTTCAGGTGACCTTGACACCCACCCTAATGTATGGGAGCAACATCAAATCACATTTGAACGTTTGAAACCACGAAAAGCTTGCAAACGCGCGGCTAATGCGAGCCGACATACGCGGAATCGCGATTCCGGCCAAACATGGTCTCGGAAAAGAGGTCACAGGTCAAAGGTCATTTGGGTCAGGGTCATGAAATTTTCAGGGTAGGTGTAAAATTGAGCAATGCGAGGGTACTGAAAGTTTCGTCGCGATCGGCCGCTTTTTACGCGAGTTATTTGCGAAAAACCTTAGGGGGGTTGCATCAACCCCCCCCCCCTGTGCCGGCGAGGGTTAAGTTATGCTGACCTGTTACTCGATGTTTTATGTAGAGTGTTTCCTGACTTTCGTCAAAACGGAAGAGAAGAGAACTTCCAAACTCATTTTTTCAAAGAAGTTCGAATGTAAAGGTCGAAAAATTAACATGACCTTCACCTTAGGTCACCGATATCTAACTTCCGAGATGTAGGTATTTATGAACGTTTCATACAAATTGTTAGCCTTATCAATCAATGCAAGTTTCAGAAGAGCCTCCTCCTCGCGAGGCCGAGGATATATAAGGTCACTTATAAAAAAGCAATCACGTTCAGTCGGTGTAGCTGTGGTGAGGTGAGCATTTAAACTTTTTCTGAGGTAGATAAGTTTGAATTGACGTAACCTGGTGACCTGACCTAAGGCGACCTGGGTCTGAACTTTTCGCAACATTTGCAGGGAAGATGCATAAAAGGGTTCAAGAACCGGCCACGGTCCGGCGTGGGTTAATATGCAATAACATGACAGGATCACGAGTGCCTAAATCGGGTTGGGTTGGAAACAAGACAAGCAATACTCGTACAAATGAGCGTTTCACTTGATCGATACATTATCGGTTCAACAGCCTGTGTCGAAATATGGGATGATTCTCCCAAACCTAAACTGCAGACCCGCGCGGCGCGACGATTTCGAAACACTTCCTGAACCGCGACGGCGGCAGGCGGCATCTCGGTCGGCCGTGTTGAAATGGTGCCAAGTGCCCGGCATGGCATGCGATAGCGTGGCGGCCGGGCTGGCGTCGGTAGTGCAGCTATCGGACAGCTGAGCGCTGTACGGGATATGATGTGGGGTGGCTGCAGGGGGGGAGGGGAGGGGGGGGGGTCGGTTGCTGAGGCCACTGCGCAATGCACAGATGCTTCTTCGGGAAGCAACGAGTGCGCGCTCGAAATTGATAGCGCCTTCTGGCACAGTGCCAACGGAAAGTGATGTTTTATTTACGCCTATGAGGCGCACAAGAATGAACGGTACTTCATCGATAGCTTATATGACAGTGATCTCAGGCTCCGCGGGACAATGGACATTGCACATTGAACGTTGCGCTTCTCAGTTCCCACGCTACAACGCCTCTCTTCTCACCCGGCATTGTGGACTTTGATATTGAATGAATGAGATTTACCGATCAATATCAACTATCAAGGTATCTTTTTATAGTGCAATTGTATTGTGTCAAGATCCACCATGTATTTTGCAATGGCTGTTTCGTACTGGTTAGGTGTCTGCTCTTTTTAATTTCGTACTTAGACTTACAGGCTCCGCTTCGGCTACATTAGCCGTTTTCACGACGGCCATCTGGTACACATTTGGTGCACATCTTGTATAGATTAGGTGCAGATTTGGTCAAATCAGGTTCAGTGTGTCTCTTAGCAGCTATCAGCTAGGGCTGCACTAATTGCTTATATGCCTGCTTTGTCATTCATATTATCAGAGAGCATCATCGATTAAAACACTAATATAAATTCATAAAATGAAGATATTTGCTGTAAAAGAAATTAGGTGCAGATTTGGTCAAATCAGGTGCATTCGCCGGATAGCCCGTCGTGAAAACGGCTATTAGGTATCAATACGCTGATAGCCCCGAATGCAATTTGCACGGATTCCTTGCCGTGCATTGTTACGTAGGTATTTGTTAGCACTTAGCAACAATGTTTTTGACGTTTCCTGAGTTTGGCGATGCTTACGAATGATATTTTACGTACTACCGGTAAAAGTACCATAAAATAATGCATCATAAAATAAATGCTAGTCTTTAACCCGGCAGGCGGTGGGCCTACCAGCCACCTTCCACGCGGTGGGGGGGGGGGGGGCACTTTTTTGCCCCCCCCCCGTATCTCCGAAACTACTGGACGGATCCGAAAAATTCAAACGGCGTTCGATAGCCCTGTCAAATTTGTCGAGGGAAACCAAATTTCATTGACCTCGGGGTCACCGATGACGTCACAGGTCAGGTCAAAGATAAAATGTTTCACCGTTCACAGGGCTTCTAGGGAAAGCGCTATAACACCGAGTAAAACGCATTTTGTCGAAAATCAGCGATAAGGCGTCAGTTGTCTAGTACATATGTTGCTATTAGAGGTCACTGGTCATACCAGGTCAGGTCACAGGTCAGGTCACCAAAGGTCACCAAGGGTCACCACATGAGCCCAACTTTACTAAGGTTATGTGATGCATGTTTTATGGCCAGCTTTTCATTTCCAACTCAATGGTGTTGGTCATAAGACCATCAGGTACGGTTTAGGTCACTTTCTGGTGGAGGTCAGGTCAAGGTCAGGTCAAAAAAGGTCAAATTTCAAAGTTGATATTTTTGCACAAAATGGGTATCGATTCGATGCAGCTCGTCACGGGGAGTCTAAT